AATGAGGATTATATATTTGTCATTTAGTACAAATAACTAAATAAACAAATAATATTTTCCAGCAGTAAGTGTGGCGCATGATTGGGCATGGTTTCGAGGCTATACTTTGTACAAGTAAAGAACCATGTTGACATTACAAAGCATAATTTCCCAGCTTTTAACTACCAATTGTTTATCCTGTCTAAGGATTCGCATGGGGGACATGCAATGCTTGGGCTTTACTAATCAGCCCATTGTTTTCAATTTCCTCACCCGAAAAACTGTGTCTGCACAACATTATTTTTTGGCCAATTACCACTTAGACAGGAGTGGGCTCTAAAGTTGCTGAGGCCTTAACACACTTTTTATAGAGGCCCATCTACAAACCTGACTGAGAGGACCAGATACTGTCAGATTTGATAAATTATTTGATGATGAAAGGGGTAGTACATACTTTTAATGGTATTCCTCATTTGGGGGACATTTGATCTGATTATTTGGTTCAAAGATAATTTTGAACCTTTTGCAAAAGTGGCTTCCTTGGGTTCCGTACTGCTTCTACGTGGGTACAGCACCAAGGTAACTACCCCTATACCCAGTCTTTGAGCTTAAACACAACCTATTTACGTACAGATTTGATTTGCCCGTTTCCAGCCTCGGCTTCCCCGGGAGCAGGTAATGTTGGGATTGCAGGTAAAAAACGATTAGTTTAGCTGTTTACGAAATTATGGCAAGGGTTTCAGACGGATCAGGCTTATCCTTCATTTCTGACGACTAATTTAGCTCTATGTGTTATTCGATCTTCTCACCCCTGGACTCATGGAATTCAAGAGCTGCAGCTGCATCTGCTCCAAGGGAGAAGTAATTGTTGAACACATTCAAAGGCAGCTGACTGCTCGGCTCCCTGGCCAATCGTGGGTGTAGCTCGTCCACAGGAATAGGTCGACCAGGCGAACTGTTGTCACCCTCATCAGTCTGGCTGCTGGGCATGCAGCTGTAGAGAGGATTGGGCTCGCAAGTGACGTTCCATCTTGAAATCGGGCAAAAAGACCAAACTTAAGGCATTCAAGTCTATAAATGGCCCTTACTTTCGTATTTACATAACGGAAAATGTACGCCTTCATAGAAGTGGATTGACCTCGTTGTCGCAATTTGGTCTTGTTGTCAAGACGACTTAGTAGAAGGCTCCTAGTCCGAAGTCGTCTGCCATAGTAGTTGTCATAATTTCCAGCATCAGACAGTGGACTTGGTACATTTTTAAACGTTTTTCCGGCATCGTAGTCGGCGAGTGGAATGTAAACAAGCAAGAAGTGGGAGAAGAGGGTTAATTGTAGATAGATAGGCCCTGATAGAAAGAGGAGTGATAGTGTAACCGTTTTCGGCAGAACGTTTGTTGAGGGATTGACTTCATTTGTCTCTTTGACGAGTTCGTAGCTTGGTGTGGAGAATGGCAGCACTCACTGATTATGCCAACTACGATGGCGGCGAAACGTTTGAGAATGTACAAAGTCCACTATCTGGTGCTGGAAATCGTGACAACTACTATGGCAGACGACTTCGGACTTCGTGCGTTCTGCTAAGTCGCCCTGACAACAAGACCAAGTTGCGACAACGAGGTCAACCCACTTCTATAAATCGAAAGGAGACAACAGCTTGGTATTCATATCTTTCATTAAAGTACGCTTTCATAGCTTAACATAAAGCCAAATAATGTAAGATATACAAAAAAGACAAGATTTGCTGGATTCAACAGATAACTGTAGATCAGCCGGGCTTATGGTGAATCCATGCGCTAAATCAAAGGAACTTGTAGGCTAAGTCTAACTCACCAACAAATACTCTTTGGGACACTGTCCCTCATGCCATCCACATTCGTGAGGAAAAAATGTTATTTCGTTGGCAAGATTATATTCATTGTCTTAGATGGAGGTCCTAAAGGAAACTCACTCTAACTATGTTTTGAAGGGATTATTTAGAGAAATTGTTTGATAAAGTTATCTCTATCAAAGGTAGTTCTTTTGTCATTATTTGAAGCACCAAAAGACTCTGCTACCGACAATTTTACTCATTGTGATTTTTATCAGAAATACGGTTTTAGAAAAAGAACATTTTGTTATCAGATTTCTGTGCTAAGATTGACATTTATTTTATTATTCCTCTTTGATAATAACGGAAATTTGATTCCTAATATTTGATCTGCACATTCATGCTTCAGGTTATAGAATATGCCTAAATCCACCACTCCGATAATAGCAGAATGACGTACACACAAATTCTGATCAGCGAATTATGGATCTGGTTGATTCAAGCTTATGTAGCAATGCTTTTGAGATGGAACCCGTTTGTGAATGCGAGCGAATGTCTAACGCACGAATCATACCCAATGTTAGCGTACCTTTCATTTCGTTTAAAAATGCTTCATCCAAAATCTAAAGAGAATTACATCAGAGTTGTGACTGCTGGAATGTGAAAAGAGGAGCTTTCTAGATTAGTTTTGTGGCGAGTTATTCTGAAGATGTCTGTCAACCGGTGGATGAAAGCTTAGCATTGATTCATTAAGGTCGTTGAACGATGAGCCGAGGCCTTCTCCTAATCTAACATTCACAACATTCATAACTCCTTCGTTTTCCGGAGCAGCTAATTTACGAAACCTTCCCAGCTGCTTCTAAAAACAAATTGAAAGTTACGCCAAGGAATTCTTCAAACTCAGGCGTCCTTCCTAATAAACTGAACAACTTTTATTTAATTACCAACTTTTGTAAGATAAACCAATTTTTCTGGATTAACCGCCCTCCTTCCATCCAATTCAACATAAATTTATAGAAAGGAGACTGCCACCATACCCGAGGCCACAACATCTTGGTCTTCATATCTTCATAAATTTATAGTTTTCATTCAATATCAGATTATTTATAGATACGAAGATAAAGTTGGTTTCGATGAATCTTCTGAAATAACATTGTCAGAGAGACCTTCATTTGGAATGAAAGTGCATGCAGAAATGAGATTCGTTGGTCGATCTCACGAGATGAGGACGGATGAGTCTCGTTGTACTGCAGCCGGTTCGCTTTTATACGATATTCATGTTGACGCAGTCCACGAGACTTCCTCCCTCGTGTCAGGCTAAAATATGGCAGGTTTTCGTCCATCATATGATAGAAATCTTCAGAGCTGGGTTTCATTCTTGTGTGAATCTCATATTAACACTAAAGCAAGAACACTATCCTGATCCATCTTACTTCTTATAAAGACTCAATCGAGCCAAAAAATTAAAAATTAAAAACCTAGATAGATCGATATAGAATGGTTTGGGTAATTTTCTTTCATACTTGTTCTGTTATTTTTGCTAGATTGTATGAGTATGTGTATTTGTGCGGGTTAGCGTCTATATGGAATACGGTTCCTAAATCAGACTTGTCAAAGGTTAACTCTCAGGTTTTGATCCTTAAGACTTAATAACCCAAGAAAAAATCTTTGACTGAGTCTGCCTAGGTCCGTAGATAAGTATGGTTGAGACAATAAAATATGAACTTGTAAGCATGATAATCAAGTTACGAAGCCATTTGTCCTAACTTTTCAGTCAAGGGTCATTAACGTTTAAACCCCCAAGGAAAGGCAAGACCAAGGTTGCTTAATCTGACATGTCTGGTTTGGTTGATGAGCTTACTCTAACATTTTGAGCGAATGTGAGTGAAATTAGAAACACCATTGAACAGACAAATTGAGTCGCCTTCTTTTTGACGGCCGCTCAACGTTCTCTCTGTCTTTCCATCTATCAATCAAGCATGCGTAGTTCCTAATTAACTTTCTACCACCGTTCCTCACATTCGATGTATTTCTTAAGCTATTAATTTCAATAGTTTCTCTTATCTTCCTTTTAAACACAGACGTACCGTAATCAGCAAACCTACTAGTTTGAGACCATTTTATTT